CATGCAGATACATGTTTTCACATCTGACCTTGTTTTCCTTTTCCTTTCTAGGGAAAATGATCAAATGTGTGAACAGATTCAACGTCTCAACCACGTGAACAGACAGTGTACGAAGGCATTAAAACGATTCGAAACGGAAATAAAGAAACTCGATGCAAAGCTGAAGACTTCACAGCGACGCAACGAGCACCTTGAGGAGAAGCTCAAGCAGAAGGAGAAGGAGCTCCGAGACCGTCGCGAGAAGTTCTTGCTGTTCCGCGGCCACCTCGAGCTCATCACCAGCCACCTCGACGACAGCAACCCGGCCAAGAAGCTAATCACAGGACTTTTGAAATTGCCGAAATCGTAGTGAACGTATCTGAGATCAACGACCAAGTTCAATAATGCACGATTTTTTAAAATTTTAATGTATGAGTCAGTCGTGCAATTTACAGTTAAAATTGTGGAGAAAAGAGGCAAGCACTCCATGGCTATGAGGGGAAGACAGACATACGCTGTCAGTCAAAATCGTCTTTTAAAATGATAGGCTCTTATCATGACAAACATGATATTGAACAAGTTGAACAAGTGAAATGTGAAAGTGAAAAAGAATCCTCAGAAGCTGATCTCTCCACAGAACAGAAGTCGAGTGGCCTCTGCTAAATACCAGACTCCCTTTGAGATGATTACGTGCAAATCTAGCCACGTTAGATCTGTAACAATGAGAGAAATAAATGGAAATACTGATATCAGTTTTGATATTTCTTTTGATGTTGACCACAAAATGGATTTGAGAGTTTATTATTTTCAAGTAAATTATGTACCAATTAAAATCTATCCTTTAAGAATGTACTACACGGATGAAAACTTTCATACCTTTATTCAGTTCAATTTGTTTCATGTCATTTAGATCTTACTTTTCCGTCAAATTCAAAAATATACTATTATATGTATGTGAAATAAAACCAAAGTGATCTGCATTGCCACTAAAATATTCTCAAAGTCTTTCTCAGTAATATTTGTTATCTAATGCCTGGGATTTTTCTTCTTCTTCTTTTTTTTTTTTTTTTGGGGGGGGGGGGGTGAAAATTATAGATATCATATTCGACATTATATAGAATCGCCAGTCTTTTCCTTTCTATCGCTAATTTTGTTCCTGAAATTAATTATGTTGTCCATACTGCAATCGCTTACATCTAGTTTGCCGACAACAATTGCAGCAGTTATGCTAAATATATTTTCTGCTGTAGTTATGTTAAACTTATTTCCTGAATATCAAGAGATCGATCTCGTTCTTAACATTGTTATTTAGGCAGCAAGAAGTATATTTTTCTGCAAACACAATCTAATAGATCATCTCTTGTTTCTCTTGCCAGTGGCAAATTTTCTTGTACAGTTTTCTGCAAACCATATGTTTACTTTGGGTTTCACATCGCATCGTATCGTACGGAAATTTGACTTTATTATTTCCATGAATATACTTTCATCATCGTAGTTAATTCCAATCCTTTTCTTCTGCTCCTTTAGAAATTGACATAAATGCGTGTATCCTCTTTGAAAGCTTTGTCTTCTGATTTTTTTATGGTCCCAGCCTTTATGGTAAAAGCCTGCCGGTCGTTCCCTCATAAACATCATCATCACGTGATCGTACATCGTTCGATGTCCCATCACCACGTTTTTTTCCACTTGTGCCCATCACTCGTGATTTTCCTTTCCTTTCTAACACTCATAGGAGATTCCTAATCTTCCACATCCCTCCCCCCTCAGTAACAGCCTGTCCCTAGGATGTTATACAGTTCTTTATCACACTCGTCTAACACACTGAGCGGATGACAACAGGTAGAAAAGAGTCGTCTAGGACCTCATCTCTGCAGTAGTTTTCTGCTTCCTCCTCGTCAAAAAAGCCGCGGATTTGCAGTTAGTGACCTGTCCATAACGCAGGAGGGCAGCATCGGCCGGACAGACACTCCACCCTGGCTGAATTGCTTTGTAGTCAATAAGGTCCCTCTTCTCCACAAACAGGTCCCTGGCCTCTGAAACAAGGACAGCGGCAAACATCTGGGTATGGATAAAAGCCGTAGAGGTCAAGATGGGTCTGGGGAAGGCATGCACCAGGAAAGCATCCATTTGGTGGCCTGGTAAAGGGAAGGTCAGATATACTATCAAATTTCCTAATCAAATTTCTGCATCTGCTATTAGATCCTTTACTGGAAAAAACATCAGTAGCCCCGCTATCTCTTGTCTCATCAATAGCCCCGCTATTATTTAATGTCATCATCTCATTAATAACCCCGCTATCATCAATAGTAACATCATCTATAGCCGCGCTATTATCTAAAAAAAAAAATCTTATTGACAACCCACCATTCCCTATAGCATCTTCATCTTTAGCCCCGCCGTTAACTAAAGTAATATTCTCATTAATAACCCTGTTATTGTCTATAGCATCCTCATCTTTAGCCCCGCTATTAACTAAAGTAATTTTCTCATTAATAACCCTGTTATTGTCTATAACAACCTTATTTTTAGCCCCGCTATTAACTAAAGTAATTTTCTCATTAATAACCCCGCTATCATCAATAGTAACATCATCTATAGCCGCGCTATTATCTAAAAAAAAAAATCTTATTGACAACCCACCATTCCCTATAGCATCTTCATCTTTAGCCCCGCTATTAACTAAAGTAATTTTCTCATTAATAACCCCGCTATCATCAATAGTAACATCATCTATAGCCGCGCTATTATCTAAAAAAAAAAATCTTATTGACAACCCACCATTCCCTATAGCATCTTCATCTTTAGCCCCGCTATTAACTAAAGTAATTTTCTCATTAATAACCCTGTTATTGTCTATAGCATCCTCATCTTTAGCCCCGCTATTAACTAAAGTAATTTTCTCATTAATAACCCCGCTATCATCAATAGTAACATCATCTATAGCCGCGCTATTATCTAAAAAAAAAAATCTTATTGACAACCCACCATTCCCTATGGCATCTTCATCTTTAGCCCCGCCGTTAACTAAAGTAATATTCTCATTAATAACCCTGTTATTGTCTATAGCATCCTCATCTTTAGCCCCGCTATTAACTAAAGTAATTTTCTCATTAATAACCCTGTTATTGTCTATAGCATCCTCATCTTTAGCCCCGCTATTAACTAAAGTAATTTTCTCATTAATAACCCTGTTATTGTCTATAGCATCCTCATCTTTAGCCCCGCTATTAACTAAAGTAATTTTCTCATTAATAACCCCGCTATCATCAATAGTAACATCATCTATAGCCGCGCTATTATCTAAAAAAAAAAATCTTATTGACAACCCACCATTCCCTATAGCATCTTCATCTTTAGCCCCGCTATTAACTAAAGTAATTTTCTCATTAATAACCCCGCTATCATCAATAGTAACATCATCTATAGCCGCGCTATTATCTAAAAAAAAAAATCTTATTGACAACCCACCATTCCCTATAGCATCTTCATCTTTAGCCCCGCTATTAACTAAAGTAATTTTCTCATTAATAACCCTGTTATTGTCTATAGCATCCTCATCTTTAGCCCCGCTATTAACTAAAGTAATTTTCTCATTAATAACCCCGCTATCATCAATAGTAACATCATCTATAGCCGCGCTATTATCTAAAAAAAAAAATCTTATTGACAACCCACCATTCCCTATAGCATCTTCATCTTTAGCCCCGCTATTAACTAAAGTAATTTTCTCATTAATAACCCCGCTATCATCAATAGTAACATCATCTATAGCCGCGCTATTATCTAAAAAAAAAAATCTTATTGACAACCCACCATTCCCTAAAAAAAAAAATCTTATTGACAACCCACCATTCCCTATGGCATCTTCATCTTTAGCCCCGCCGTTAACTAAAGTAATATTTTCATTAATAACCCTGTTATTGTCTATAGCATCCTCATCTTTAGCCCCGCTATTAACTAAAGTATTTCTCATTTAATAACCCTGTATTGTCTATAGCATCCTCATCTTTAGCCCCGCTATTAACTAAAGTAATTTTCTCATTAATAACCCCGCTATCATCAATAGTAACATCATCTATAGCCGCGCTATTATCTAAAAAAAAAAATCTTATTGACAACCCACCATTCCCTATAGCATCTTCATCTTTAGCCCCGCTATTAACTAAAGTAATTTTCTCATTAATAACCCCGCTATCATCAATAGTAACATCATCTATAGCCGCGCTATTATCTAAAAAAAAAAATCTTATTGACAACCCACCATTCCCTATAGCATCTTCATCTTTAGCCCCGCTATTAACTAAAGTAATTTTCTCATTAATAACCCCGCTATCATCAATAGTAACAGCATCCCTTTACTATCCACCAGGGAGAGGATCTTAACAACGTCTCTACTGTCTTGACTATATTCCATTGCCTTATCCTGTAAATCAGGGGCAACTTTAGGAAGGATTGAAACCCCCCTTGTATTTACAAGTTTTTTGAGGCAGTTTTTGGCCTCTAAGGCTCTGGACAATTTCTCGCGAAATGGCCAATGTTCCCACAGTTAAAACATTTACTCTCAGCTTCCATCTTTTGGCATGTCCCCGACACTTCTCTCAGCTTTTGATAAAAAAGGAAACATCTATCCATGGTATGACCTGTCTTCTGACAATATCCACATGTCCTAGCAGGTATGCCACGATCCGTTCCCATATGAGCACTAGAGCTTGCTATGCGAGCAGACACCTGGCATTTATTAATTCCGTGCCCACGCCTTTGACAGTAACCACATGTCACAGAATCATCTTTTGTCACATTCCTCTTTAAATTTATGTCTGTCTTTTCATCTCCTGTTTTATCCACCGGTTCCTTTCTAACCTCGACCAGTTTGTTTAACATTCCCGGTGTAAGTGTATCATTTCGACTTTCTACCTTTCCGCCGTCAACATTCTTTTCTTTTTGGGGGACCCTGCTCCCTTCCTTGGCTATCGCGCCTACTACTCTTTTTTTTTTCTTTTAGAGTCTCCTCCTTCACCGCC